ACACAGTAATATGCATGCATACACACAGTATATTAAAAACTGCTTTTAATTTTGCATTTCTCAGATAGCCATTAAAATTATGAGCTTGAAAAGGGCGAAAATTTTCTGAGGGCACTAAATTGTAATTGTGCAGTCATGCTTATAAAACTGTCCACAATTTCTAAACCAAATATGTTCATCAGGGCTAATACTGATAGACCTCGAGTTCCAGGTTTTGGTCTGACTGAGCGACAAATACATAGATAGATGCATTTGTATGTTGGTAATTAGGGATGATCCCTAGATCCATAGATCTAGATCTAGAATAGTCAAATTTAGGACAGACAAGCTTAGGCAGAATCTGCTAATTAATCAATTATTTCCTCACATTAGCTTCTAGTGTAAACTTGACTATGATTCACTGACAGTTTGAGCTTTGTATGTCTGTCTATGTGGAGGAAAGGATCGTGGAGGAGACCTTTGGTAAAGTTTTAGGTTCTTGTATGTTTTTGTTCTATGAATTCTTTCGTGACGGCTGACAATGTGCCTGTGACAAACACAGCAGCATTGCATAATGTATACAATAAGCTATCAAAGCTTAGGCTAATAGAGGTTGTGCGATATGCATGGTTTTGTGATATAGCACAAGGAATTCTCACTTTAACAAGTCTGCAAATGCGTCAGAGGCATTGTTATTTTATAACAGCAAGGCAGCCTCCAAATGAGCACATTTCACCATAAACAAAACATCCTTCATAATGCAATGGAAACACATTCTGCCTTTGAATTATGATGTTTTGGACTCATCCTTGAGATAAGCAAGCTAATGACAGATAGAATAGATCTGTGGTAACCCACAGTGAAGAGCCATAAAAGGACAGTTTTAAAAAAAAATGTGAATATGATAAATATGTGCCATTTCTCTCTTAGTGTTTTGTTGTTGCTGTCTAGTGCTGATGATACCAGCAAGTCAATGCTATTGCAGAAATGTCTTAATATATTTACTAGTGCTGTAAAATGATAATTATGTGTTTTTAATGTCATTATTAATCAATATGTTGCTACTCGGTACGTGTTTTTCCTCCATCCAGCTTCACTGTGATTGGAAGTGACTATTCAAGAGATTGCTCTATTGTGTACAAGTGTAAAAGTGTGGTGATCCAACCTACCAATTGGATGATACTCATATCTGCAAGTGGCCTCTGAGAAACAGGAAGGTGTGATTTGGTTTAATTGTTTGTTCAGTTATCAGCAGCAACAACAGGACAGTTTTGCCTCAAAGCCAAGATGCAATACAGGCACCTAAGGATGCTCACCCAAATTTAACAGCGTTCACACCCGTCCAGAGATCCCCAGAAGGTTCCTCTGTGTGTATGAAGGTCAGATCAGATCATGGGAAAAGCAGATGTACATGCTGTTATTATACTGTTCTCCCTGATTGTCCGTGTGTGCAAACTGAAGCATGCAATGCAATTAATGATACTGAGGAAAAGTTGTTTTTAAAAAAGTCATTTCTGAAAGTTTTTTTTTATGTTGCAGCGAGGAAAAGGAAGACAAATTGGGAGGTGCTTTTTTTTGTACAGGAGTTTACTACATTGTGCATTTTTTTGTTAGCTCATACTTAATGTAATGCATAAGCTGTTGTTTTAAGCATATAAATGTCACAGACACTTTAGAGCAAGCACTTTGTACACATACAGTATTTATCTGATGTTTAAAACAGTATTGAGATTTTATATCAAAGCTGAAATCAAGCCTATGAATTACCTGTTATCATAAAACAGCATTATGTTTTTTTATGCAGCACAATAATCAGACAACCTTCAATATCCATAAGCTTCAGTTTTGTTCTACGGGGTGTTTGTTTATAGGATATATTTTACAATACAAGATTGATAGGATGATGTACTGTAATGGAGTATTTTTCTTGTTTTCTATAGGATTTATGGATAAATTGAGCAGATAAATATAGTCTTTTATGAAGTGATATCAAAATGTAGGCAGAATGAAATGGTTCTGCTTTAACCCTACACACTTTCATCTCTCCCTCCATGTGATTTTCATTGTTGAAAGGTGCATTTTGACAGGGCTCGTGTTTTATTAATGTGTTTTGGCCAACATCTTCCTGGTTTGTGTCAGTTCAAGGGTAGTTTTTGTTACTCTGTCAGTAAGGAAGGAAGTAATCTGTCTCGAAGTAATCTTTAGAGCTGGAATTTGTGCTAGTTGTTACTTTTTATTAAACAAAGAGCATTCTACCAGGCATTCTGCAGCTTGTTGGGGAACTGCGGTAGTGGCTCTGATCTTTATTTCTATCCCTGTGTTACTTTTTTGTTTTTTTAGCCCCTCAGATCGCCCCACCACCTAAACTGGCCGCAACTGATGGGGCAACATGACTTAAGTGTGCACTGTTATTCTCTGATGTGTCAACCAGGCTCATAAGACAAGAACTATTCTACATGTCAGAATTGGAAACAGCTGCACTGCAGTCTCAAGTGTGAAAAACGCAGCACCATAATTTATTAGTTTGCATTGGCTTCATTAGTTGATATGACTGTGCTCTGTGTTTTCATGCCTCAGCCACATTTTCAGAACCCCTGACCTTGGAGACACTGTCATTGTCTGTTGGATGTTGTTTTACTCGTGGCCAAGAACTATGTTGATCTCTGATGATTTGATATTGTTTTCTTACCAGCTGAGCCTTTCTGGTGTTGTATGTGTGATCAATAAGCTCTCAGCAAGTTACACAATAAATGTATACAGCATCGTAGTCATCTTGTGTATTATTGTTGTCATAGGTTATTTTCAAAAATGAAACAAAACAATTTAAGGAGTATGTTCTTTGTTAATGGTGCTTTTCCACACATCTTCATACGATAGGTTTCTATAGCCCTCAACACCCCCTCCAATGCAAACACTGTAAATTGGATCCAGTATTTGTTCTAAACTAATAATCCAATTTTGCAAATGCAACGTAAAATAAACAAATTAGATTTCACTGGGTTATCAAGATCATGCTACTGTTTATAAATTGAACATATTCTATGTTGTATTCAGTTAAAAATGAAACTTGGCAAAGTTTATCCATAAGACCTTTTTTTAACCCACTGCTGGCTGTGTCATTAAATGTGCATAAGCAGCATACAGCACAGTAAAGGTCAGCTCTGATCAGCCTTTAGTGACAGAAAAGGATGTTAATGAACAAAGACTGCAGTCCAATGTGGTCCAAGAGTCTAAATGCAAATGGATTTGTGTACATACATGTGTGTCTGAGAGAGTGAAGCATAGGATATATGTGCATATACGAATGCATACTTGTTTGTGAGCAACACAGAGGCACTTTGTGAGTGTGAATGAGTCCACAAGTGTGTGCTTCTTTCTCTCTGGTGCTGCTGGAGTAAGTAGACATCAAACAGTTGTGCATCGGGGGAAAGTATATTGGACAATTAAGACAGAGGCTGTGTACTGCACTGCCCTGTGTGGGCCTGATTGAATCAGAGAGACAGCCACTCACAGCTCTTTGTTTCAGGACATTGCAGGTAATTACCCATAAGTCACTGTTCTCTTGTATTGGATCTTCAGCCTAATTAAGCCCCCGCAAGCAGTCCGTCTCGGCCTCATTTATTACCTCCGGTTGCTTGTTGACCTTTTCAGGCACATGGTTTGACAGGCAATTCAGACACATTACACCGAGCTGTGGGCGTTACATTTGAAGTCTTGAAGACATTTTCATGGATTTTGAGCTGTGTGTTGATGTCATTATGTAGTGTTAGGCTGCCTTAAATACTTCTTTTACTAATATCACATTTATTAGCGCTACATGCATCCAAGGCCTTTCTAAACACAAAGACACAAACAAATACAACACCAACAAACCTATTTATTTTAAATAGAATACGTTGCTTTCTTCTTGTGATTCTATTGCTTTACAGTCCTTCATTAGAATAAGCAGTACAAAAAATGATATGTAACAAGTGACTCAACAGTCCACATTATGTATATGCATATGCATATGTCACCAACCAGCTGTTTAACTGATGAACCAAAATATGTTAAGCCACACCTGACCAAACCAGATGGACATTTTCCATTTTAAATGAGTTCTGCTTACAGTAAATGAGAGCATTTATGAAAATAAGAGCTCACTTTCATCCCCTAAATGTTGCTTATGTACATGCAGGAATCCACATAAAAACAGAGGAAGAAAAGGCTTTTGAAAATGCATTTAGACCTTGAATCAGATTCATTGCTTTTTCTGTGTTCTGTCCCATTTAAAATCTTGAAACAGTGAAATCTTTCACTATTTTGCTTATCTCAACTGCTGCTCATGTGCATGCAATATCAGGATAGGTGATGGATTTGACAATGGATGTGTTTGTACATGTATGAAAGAGGATAACTGATAATGACAGTTAGGATCCTTGAAAATGCTATAGCAATGCATCAGAAAAAAAAGTCACTTAGGTCAATCATTTGAAGAGGAGAGGTGTTCTGTTTAATGCTCATTTGGGTGGAATTGTATATAGTGAACCCATATGAGACCTGAGAGGAGGATAAGATCTATCAGTACAATCACCAGTAAACTGTTAGGAGTGTGGTAGTGGTTTGTTGTGTAGACCTTCATTGCCATCTGCTGACAGATATGGGTGAAACAGTGTCATGCCCCCCTTAGATAATGTTCTCCAAAATGTTTCAAGGGAAAACAGTTTTATCTATTTAACAGCACAAGAGACATAAAGACTTAAAATCTATGCATTGTTATCTTAAATTATAAATGTACAAATATCTTATTTGGGATAGTATGTGTTCTCTGTTTTATTGAGGTCATGTGCATCCAGCTACTTGGGCACGTGCAGGATAGTTGCCAAATACCATCATGATTCACACCCCCCTGACATTACAGTCCATGGCAAACCCAAACATTCATCTTACATAACACATTTGAAAGTCAGTATGTCTAAATATACCAGTTCACTGTCAAGCTTTATGTTTTATCTATAATAAGAGCACACACAAACTAAAAAAGTAACTCAACCATTTTTATTCAGCTTTCAGTTTCCATGTTTGACAAACTTATCACAATACAGTTCTCTATGCAAGCATCAGGTGTTCATGTGGACTGTTAACCTTTCCACAGAAACCATCATTAAGTACAAAGCATATTCTAACAGCTATTTCCCAGACAATAGACATTTATATTTTTTAAAGAAGCCTTGTATAAACATAAAATTTACAGCCTACATTGCAAATTTAGCAAATGCCAACAAAAATATAAAGGAATGCCAGATATTCACCATTTAAACTGTGCATGTTGGAAATGGAAAAAAGATACACTTGAGACATGTTTAAGCTTGTTTACTTTGACAACAAGTATAAAAAAAAAGATAAATCATTAAGGGTCAGTGCTGTCCTTATATGTCCTCTATAACAATGATCAGTAGCATGCCCCACAGACAAGCACATGACTTTTGTCCCAGTAATGGGTCAGGGTTTCCGCAACAAAAATGTAGAATTAACTTTAACCTTCTTTCTGTTAATTACCTAATTCAAAGACTCTAATGTACGCTAATGGTGTCTTATCTTATCTTGTTAGTCCTTAATTGCTTGTTTTTTTGCAGAATTTGTCAATTCAGATTTTTTTTGTTTCTTCAAATATTCTTTCATACTGAATGTGAAAGTGTTTTAAGTCTTTATCATGTTCTGAAATTACCCTCTCCTCTCTCTCCTGCCTGATTTCATACAGACGCCACTAGAACATAGTTTCTGCACCTGGTTTCATAAAGGATGGAGAGAGCAAAATGGAGAAGGCAGTTTATGAACATGACAACCACAGACACTCCTGAGAAAGGATGCGAGCAATCCACTGACAGACATGGTGAAACACAACATATATTCTTTAAGACACACTCAAGTTAGCTGATGTAGTTAGCTACCTTATTTGATCTTTATTAGTGTGACTCCACTTGTTCACTTGTTTATCTGTCCAATATCCATGCTGTCAGGAAGTGCCCCGCCCTCTCCCAGGGTAATACTTGTTGGTAAAAAAAGAGCACTTGGCCCTGAAGGTGTTGGCTGGTGTTAATGTGAAACTGTTATCAGAGCCAGCTTACAGCTGTTCTCATCCTCAGCTCACAACACCTGGGGGTCAGGCTCATTGGTTTGGCTGAGGCTGCTGTCAGTCAGCAGGAGGTGTGCGTCACTGTCAGGTCTCCCTAACATTACTGGCTGCATCACCAATCAGTCCGTGTCACTGTCAGGAGGCGGGCAGCGCCTCATTACAGTGTCAGAGACCGACCGGCTGTTCACTCCCTGCATCGCCAAACAGCCTGCGTCAGTGTCAGCATCAGCTGATCTTAGGAGAGGCTTCATTGTCAGAGCCTGCTGTCCACTGTCAGCTGTGCTTTGACTTTCACCTTGCCCTCTCTGATGCTCAAGGTCTTACAGGGGCTCTGTGGGCCTCCTGTAACATCTGTTGAGTGAGCACGGCTTGCTGCATCTGGCCTAAATCAAAATGTTCTTGCCTTTGTGACACCCCACCAACTTGTCTATGGTCATGGCCTTGGCCAGCAACATCATCACCTCCATGGTGATGGCCATGGTTATGATCATGGCCATGACCATGATGAAAACCGCTATTATCCCCATGGTGGCCATGGCCATGACCATGGTGATGTCCATGATGGTGACCATGTCCAGTGTTGTGCTCTATAGCTGGGGTACCATCCGCATCAGGCTGTACATCTGCTTTCCCTTTGCACTCTTCTGGTGTTTCAGTGCTCTGCAGAGAAATCAGAAAAGGAGAAATGGCAACAGAGCCAAAGGAAATTGATTAAACTTATTTTTAGTTGAATGTGTTACTAGCACGTTATTTGCATATTATTTGTAGAGTAATGTTTTTTTTTTAATTAATGGATACATGGGCAGTTATGTATCATCTATACCTCATGTGTGCAGTCCCCACATATGCGATTACAGTAAGTATCTCTGATGGCGCCCTCAACATGGCCTTGTCCAATGATGGAGTATGGAAGAGAAATGTGATGGGTGAGACGGCCACATCTGACAGCAAAGGGATTGAAAAACATGGTGAGGTTAAGTATAGATGGCAACAATAACGGACAAAGTGGAAATAAAAAATAGAAGAAAGAGAAAAGAAAAACTGTTGCTTTTGTTTTCCCCTGAAAAATGTGAATGAACTATTTATTACAAGTAACCAACCTGTCATAAATGAGAAAGTCATCTTTTTGTCCACCCAGTGTCTTCCAGACATCAACCTGTTGCTGGTCCTGTTTGTACAGTGTGATGTTCTCTGACATTCTCTGTGCCAGCATAGGGTGCAGGAGCTGTGCTTGCTCCCCCTGGTGGTTAATCACCATGTAAGCCACATTCTTCAGGCCCTGACTCTCCATCATCTGGTGCAGGCTGTCCATTCTGCTCAGAGAAGTGAATTCAGAGACCATGACTTTAAAAACCAGTTACCAAATAGGAAAGTTGTTAATAAAGCTTTTCTGCATAGTCTGTTTATCACACAAGTGTGAACAAGATTCAGTGCTTTGACAGAGAAGAATTGCATAAGAGAGCCTGGTTTGAACATGTTATACCTTGCTGCCAAGTTGGCATGCCTTATAAAATGGGCCTTAAGATTTAACTGACATTGATTTCTAATGTCATTTGTGTAGTGCTTTCTGACTACCCAAGGAGTGTGAATGTCATGCCTTGCCACAGGTTTAGGACTGTCGTGGTGCATTTTAATGTAAAACATTTTTTGTTGAATGGACCAAAGCAAAGGACACATGATCAGAACAGACCTGGAAGCCTGCACCAGGCAGAACAGGCAGCTGGCCTGCAAAAGAGCCACCACCGTCACCTGGCCCATTGTCCCCTTCATGGGCTCCACCTCCCCTATGTTCCAGGCTGGCGGCAGTTGACAGCGAGGCCCAACCCCCTCACTCTCTGCTCTGCCCCCATGGAGCAGGCAGAGAGGGAGGAGAAGGCTGAGGCACGCCCACATCACTGTGGTGCCTCCTCACTGCCCCGATCTGCTGAACACGAAGAAGGGGATAGTGGTGGGGGAGGGAGAAGTAGAGAAAGGAGACAGCAGGAGGTTAAAGAGGAGGAAGAGGGAGGAGGGAACACTAGAGTTTGAGTCAAATTCAGCACTTACAAGTGATAGGATTGTGCAAAAGGTCAGATCAAGTTTTACATTATCCATATCGTCCTAATTTTGCTCCCAGATTGTTAAGTCTTTTCATGCTGACCGGACTGGACCGGACTTTGTGACTACTGTAGCAGACTGAACAAAGCAGTTTATTTGAAGCTTCTAAATCTGAGCTCATGCTGTTTTATACAAATTTAAACTCATTAATACACACAATAAAGACAAAGAAACAGCATATGGTCAGGAAGCATGCTTGAATATTGAAAGCAAATGTCTAAAGTTCCTGCAGTAGCCTATATTACCACATGCACAACAGCAAGAAAAGTTAAATAATGTAAAATGTTGTTCAGTGGCTGGTTGAAGTAATATAAACTGATACACCTCAGCTACAATGAAAATACTTGCATTTGCAACACGTTCAAATATACTGCACTGCAAAATATTTTTAGGTCATGTGTCTGTTTATCATAACATAAAAAAGACAGATTTCTCGGTGTTTATTACATTTTAGGTAAATGGATAAAGGGTAATGAATTCTGTCATTTACCTTCTGGTTAAAATTGCCTTCGTTCTCCTCAGCTCCAAGTTACTGCAGCTTCTTAAAGAAAAACAAGTCTTCTCCCACTGCTCCCCCCTTTTATACTCTGCCTGTTGTTTTTCTCACTGAATGGAGGACAAAGTTCAGTCCCAGCTGTGTGCTGATGCCTACACTTTTCTCAAGTAAAAGAAAATCACAGTGCATGAAATCCCCTAGATGACAGGAAACCAAACATTTTTTTAATGGAAAATGTTTGGTAGTAACTGGCAGTCAAACAAATTCCTTCATTGAGGAGTAGACAACTATTTCTTGGTTAAGATATGTCAGTATATAGTAGATAGTACAGTAGATAGTGCATTCATTTGCCTTGTAAATCAAATTGAATGTTTTTACATTGTAAAACATATATTACAGAGATGTATTATGAATCTTCAAAAACAGGGAAGAACATTGTGCAACACTGCTTTTTGCTGTCAGCACAAAAAGAGTAGAAGTGAAAAAGGACATAGGGTGGGATTTTGGTCAATGTCCAGTATGTTTCTGGGAGGTCCACAAGCACGGATACACAGGACTCATTCAATATGCACAAGTGGCATTTTTCAAGTATCCCTAAGAAAGTATCCTGCAGTTTAATAACAAACAGAAAATTTAGTTAAAAATTAATATTGAAATATTTAGTACAGACCATGGGAGATCATTATTTAGCGAATGATATTCTTAAAGCTTAGGGCAGGCCAAACAATTAAAAGAGGAGATTATAGCTCACAGTCAGTATGTAAAATGATGAAGTTCATTCTGCAGAGATTTTGGAGAGATTAAGAACCACAAAATGTTTCAGGTACTGAAACTAATTTAAAGCTTTACATGATTTTTTCCATGTCAGTCTGGAGACATATTTACATTCTAGCTAAAACTTGCTAGCCAGCTTTAGGTGAGAGGTCAATCATTGTGTAACACTGAATTAAAGAGATAGTAATCTAATCAGCAGTTTAAGTATATATAAAAAACTGTAAACTTCTTCAGAGTTCAACCAGTCAGGTGACTGCGGATGTAAGCTGTGCTGAGAGCACAGTTATGAAACTTTTAAGTTCAAAGGTCACTGTAGTTTTGACTAGGCCAGCATATGTCAGTGACATTGTGGTTTAACAAGAAATTAAATAACACACATATGTGTTAAAGTAGTATCTGAAAGTATAATGAGCAGTACAGTAATGAGCAGCCTGATATCAGACAATCTAATAAAATAGCCATACAGTACGTTCTATGTTTGCAGAATTTTGTTATGGTTTCTTCATCTCTGTGGTCAGTTTTAGGGTGTATTTTGCAATGTTGTTGGACTGCGTTGCATTATCTTGAAAGTGTTTCTGCATTGTGTTCACCTCTTGTGTGTCTCTATATATTCACTACTGCAGGATGGTTCTGGAAACAAGTGAAAAAATGTATTCCCTTCTGCTTGTCTGTCCTGATTCAAGCAGTTCCATCAGGAACATACGAGCCACATACTGTCAGTTGTCTTGGTGGCTGGTTTTACTCTGGGGGATATAATGTCACCAGCAGTACTGAGTACTGTAAATAGAAGAAGCACCACAAATAGTACAAACTAAGTTTGAGATAACGATATATCAGGGCGCATACAAACAGGGAACAGAAAATCAGATGGAGGCTGTGGTGGGCACTTACAACATAAAACATAAAACAGAAAAACAGTGGGTATCACTGTCTGTAAACACTTGGTCAGGGCAGTGAGGTGTATGATATGTGACAGGACTATGCAGGACTACTACTCATTTACAGTGTCTGGCACTAAGGTATGTTTCTGTTATCAGGTCACACTGACTTGTATGAACTAAGAATGCAAGTTAGTCAGGTTCAAAGGATGTTAACTGATAATATGAAGCCACACCAAGTCACAGTATATTATTAACACAAAATGTGATACAGACAGCACAATGCCTGATCAACCTCTTCAGAATATAAAAATGTTTAATAATTTACACGTGTCTTGTTGATGTTCTTGTTGTGATACTGCACTGCACACTGACAAGGATTATTCTTCAAACTTTTATACATATATTTTAAACTTTATATTTATGTACTATGAATATTTGTTTGGTTTAGCATATGGCATATTCTCTCTCTCATTTTCTCTCTCACTATATCCAAGTTTCCTTATAGGATGGATAAAGTTCTATCATATGTTATCTCTGAACTGCAAATGTGAAGATGTTTGATATTTAGGACTTATCACATAGTAGATTTTAATAGTCTGATACTAGCACTTTTACTAAGGTAAATCTCTCTTTCACCAATGCTTATCAGAACCTGGAATACATAAACTGTTATCTGCATCAAATAGTAGGTCTACATTACTTGAAGTGAACACAATTTCATACATTAACAGGACCTGACACATTATCTAGCTTCTTGGGTTTATTTTGGAAGGGAGGATGCATTTGAATTGTTTCCGTAAAAGAAATTGTTGCATGGATGTGATGTAAATGAGCTAAATCATTATGCTATTATCAGTTCTGGTACTGCCCGGTTCATAGTAGTCTAAAAGAACGTCACTCAGCGCTGTCACTAAGCAACACTGCTCGGCGTCCCTGACTTCGCAAAGGTTTCTGGGAGTCCGAGGCCCGAGGGTTGAACGGCCGCCCTTTTAGGAGCAACGAGTGTAGAACAGCTGTACATGCGTCGAGGGAAATATTATCGTAAAACAGCTTTCTGACGCAGCGTAACCAAACTTGAGGTATGTGTGCCGAAGGTTTTTGACGCATATTTTTGCCCACGGCGATTACAATTAGGTAATCCCTCTCAGAAAAGTGTATTTTAATGCGCGGTTTGATGACGTAATGTTGATTGTCAAACACGAAATGGCGAACGTGCTAAGAGGCCTGTTACCTGTAAGACTTTGGGGTTGTGGGATGTTTATTTTCTTCGTGTTCCTCTATCTAAACGAATACATTAATATATCTACTCCTGGTAAGTTGGTTTTTGATTACATATATTTCTCAGCTACTTGAAATGGCTTATTTTGTTCTTCGGTGGGGTGCAAGATTGAACTTGCTAGTTAAGCTAACGTTGACAACGAGCGGGGCTAGCAAAGCTGTTAGCTGAACCATCCTTGGGTCGGATCAGTGGTTTAAAGATAACGTTACCGGTTTTCTGGCACGTCATGATTCGCTCCTGCGATTTTCGTATGCGCACGTTTTGTTTCGGACGCTTTTATAAAACTTTGCCATAGTGATGCGCCTCTCGTGGGCCTCACTTTGATTCTCATTTTCTGTGCAATTTTGTTACCATGTGAAGCATCGTTTACATATCTGCTTTTGTTTTATTTGCCCCCAATATAACTTTGTTCCTTCCGTCTTCGTTGTTTAGATGCATGTTTGCCCCAAGTGCACAGAGATTGTGTGGTCAAAATTTAAAATTCATTCATTTAACATTTTAATGATATCCGGTTGTCGTCACACATTTCTTGGTTAAGATATGTCAGTTGAAAGTAGATAGTACAGTAGACAGTGCATTCATTTGCCTTGTAAATCAAATTCATAGTAGTCTAAAAGAACGTCACTCAGCGCTGTCACTAAGCAACACTGCTCGGCGTCCCTGACTTCGCAAAGGTTTCTGGGAGTCCGAGGCCCGAGGGTTGAACGGCCGCCCTTTTAGGAGCAACGAGTGTAGAACAGCTGTACATGCGTCGAGGGAAATATTATCGTAAAACAGCTTTCTGACGCAGCGTAACCAAACTTGAGGTATGTGTGCCGAAGGTTTTTGACGCATATTTTTGCCCACGGCGATTACAATTAGGTAATCCCTCTCAGAAAAGTGTATTTTAATGCGCGGTTTGATGACGTAATGTTGATTGTCAAACACGAAATGGCGAACGTGCTAAGAGGCCTGTTACCTGTAAGACTTTGGGGTTGTGGGATGTTTATTTTCTTCGTGTTCCTCTATCTAAACGAATACATTAATATATCTACTCCTGGTAAGTTGGTTTTTGATTACATATATTTCTCAGCTACTTGAAATGGCTTATTTTGTTCTTCGGTGGGGTGCAAGATTGAACTTGCTAGTTAAGCTAACGTTGACAACGAGCGGGGCTAGCAAAGCTGTTAGCTGAACCATCCTTGGGTCGGATCAGTGGTTTAAAGATAACGTTACCGGTTTTCTGGCACGTCATGATTCGCTCCTGCGATTTTCGTATGCGCACGTTTTGTTTCGGACGCTTTTATAAAACTTTGCCATAGTGATGCGCCTCTCGTGGGCCTCACTTTGATTCTCATTTTCTGTGCAATTTTGTTACCATATGAAGCATCTTTTACATATCTGCTTTTGTTTTATTTGCCCCCAATATAACTTTGTTCCTTCCGTCTTCGTTGTTTAGATGCATGTTTGCCCCAAGTGCACAGAGATTGTGTGGTCAAAATTTAAAATTCATTCATTTAACATTTTAATGATATCCGGTTGTCGTCACACATTTCTTGGTTAAGATATGTCAGTTTAAAGTAGATAGTACAGTAGACAGTGCATTCATTTGCCTTGTAAATCAAATGGAATGTTTTTACATTGTAAAACATATTACAGAGATGTATTATGAATCTTCAAAAACAGGGAAGAACATTGTGCAACACTGCTTTTTGCTGTCAGCACAACAAGAGTAGAAGCGAAAAAGGACATAGGGTGGGATTTTGGTCAATGTCCAGTATGTTTCTGGGAGGTCCACAAGCACGGATACACAGGACTCATTCAATATGCACAAGTGGCATTTTTCAAGTATCCCTAAGAAAGTATCCTGCAGTTTAATAACAAACAGAAAATTTAGTTAAAAATTAATATTGAAATATTTAGTACAGACCATGGGAGATCATTATTTAGCGAATGATATTCTTAAAGCTTAGGGCAAGCCAAACAATTAAAAGAGGAGATTATAGCTCACAGTCAGTATGTAAAATGATGAAGTTCATTCTGCAGAGATTTTGGAGAGATTAAGAACCACAAAATGTTTCAGGTACTGAAACTAATTTAAAGCTTTACATGATTTTTTCCATGTCAGTCTGGAGACATATTTACATTCTAGCTAAAACTTGCTAGCCAGCTTTAGGTGAAAGGTCAATCATTGTGTAACACTGAATTAAAGAGATAGTAATCTAATCAGCAGTTTAAGTATATATAAAAAACTGTAAACTTCTTCAGAGTTCAACCAGTCAGGTGACTGCGGATGTAAGCTGTGCTGAGAGCACAGTTATGAAACTTTTAAGTTCAAAGGTCACTGTAGTTTTGACTAGGCCAGCATATGTCAGTGACATTGTAGTTTAATTTAAAATTCATTCATTTAACATTTTAATGATATCCGGTTGTCGTCACACAGTTCCCTCTGCAGTGTATGCAGTTTCTTTAAGTACAATAGTACAGAGGGTGCATATTTCACCTGTCTTCTGCTTCTTCTGTGTCTACATAGTCACTGTGTAATAACGTGTAGAGGTACAAAATATTAGGATATTTAATCATTTCATAGCCACTTTTAAAGGCTGAACTGATGTTGGCAAAAAACTGTGAAACCTAAGACAGTGAGAAATATGATGTAGGGTTGTGCCAATGCAAGATGGGAAATGCACCTGGTGCAGCTGTTGTCCAGCTTTCAGACTGTCATATTGGACACTGAGGTCCAGTTTGACTATTGTGTGCAGGTGTAAACCCATAGTGTGATGTACTGTGTGCTTAAAAAAACATTGGCCATCTTTTGGCTGTATTGAGTTTGTGGCTTTTAGAGTAAAATATTCTCAAAACTATTTATTTCTAACAATGCACCAAAACAATGGAGAAAAATGTAATCTGGAAATCAGATTAAATAAAGTGACAGGATGCATTCTTGCATGTCTGGTGATAGCTGTGTTAATTTTCTAAAAAAAAGTACCTTTTCTTTCTTCCCCTGCAGAGAAAGATAAGGTGAATAATGGCGGGTGAGGTGGAGTTGGATGGAGGCAGTGAATACCCAGCACATTACAAAGTCATGATGGACAAACTTAATGAACAACGACAGCTGGACCAGTTCACAGACATTACTTTGATTGTGGATGGTTAGTAGGCATACACTGTAGATCATCTCTATGATGTCTTTGTGAAATTCCTAAGCACCACGTCTCATGTCTATCTTTTTCAGGGCACCAGTTCAGAGCTCATAAAGCAGTGCTGGCAGCATGCAGTCAGTTCTTCCACAAGTTCTTTCAGGATTTTACTCAGGAGCCATTGGTGGAGATAGAAGGTATTCTGGAAAAGGAAATATTAGGAGACCAAAAACTCTTCTTTAGAAATCGACACACTGTTGATGCTAAGTTTATTACCCAAACAGTTTTTTATCAACGTTCATTGTATAATTCATTCCAGGATTACATGTGTTTTCACTGTTAATATGTAATTATGTGCACAGGCAGTCTAACAAAATTAATGATTATAACTGAAAATTTAAGAGTATTTACTTTGACATAAATCATTTTAAGTATAACCCCATTGATAACTGATTTTTCGAATTGTATAAATATTTCAGAGTAAAAATAATCTGATGATATTCTTGCTGATAGTTTTTCTTTAACATTAACAGAAAGGATAAACAAATAATCTTAATCCTTTTTTTTTGTTTAGGTTTTGACCAAGATACATGCTCAGCGCTACATTTTACATTTGAGAAATAGACTGTTAGAGCTCTTAAGGGTAACACTGTTTAAATGACCTCAAACCTATTGTGGCATTTCTGTATTGCATCTCCTTGTTACTTACTTACTGACTGACATGTATGATACCAATATATGTGCAATAAGATAATGTCAACCAGTGTGCCAGCTTGACTGATTGCCTGCTCAGTTGCTCTTCCTGGGGTTACTTCTGTTTCCCAGCCTAGAATTGCAGCTAGAGATATATTTTCCAGTCTTTTCAACTGTGTTACATAGAACAGCTTTTACCCATAATAATTGCCGTCATATTCAAACAGGAGTGAGCAACACAGCCTTTCGCCAGCTGATGGAATTCACTTACACAGCCACACTAGGTGTGGCTGGAGAAGAGGAGGCTTATGATGTCTGGAAAGCTGCTGAATACCTCCAGATGCAGGAAGCCATCAAGGCACTCAACAATAAGTGAGACTTGCATACAGTTAACCTGTTACTAGCATTGCTGAAGAAGCTAAATTATGTCACTGCCAGAACTTTGCGAATTTATGTGCTTTATATTTTATGAGCTGCAAAGAAAGTAGTTTGAGGACTCCTTCATGTAAGTATAAACATTGTTACCTCTCAGTAAGAGTTCATATTCTCTTGCAGGATAAATGAGAGTCCTTCACTCATGGTGAAGAGCAAAGGTAAAAAGAGGAAGATTGCTGAGACATCTAATGTGATTACAGAAACCCTACCCTCAGTGGAAGGGGAGCAGGTAAGTGTGTTGCTGATGGTCACAATGATATTAATATAACTTTGTGGGATATTACTTGTACTTGATTATAATTGGTTGAAATTTCAGTAACTGTTTTTTTATTACTAAAATTCATGCTTAGGATTCTGTAATGCATTAAGTGAACTTGGTACACACATTTCATTTTCTGTGTTCTCTAGGTGGAAATTGAGGTGATAGCGGATGGTGCCATTGAGCTGGAGGAGTCGGGACTGGAGGAGGTGGTTGATGCAGCAAAGAATGCTCAGGCAGCGTCCGATGACTCTGCTTTGGCTCTTCTTGCTGACATAACTAGCAAATATCAGCAAGGGGAACCTACAGTGCAGGTGATGAAGAAGGAAGAGGTACAGTATAATTATGACTTCGAGAATGACTTTTTTATTAAAAGACATTGCTCTGGTAATTAGTGGGTAAACTCTGTATATTAGACTTTTGATGTGAAAGGATTGATGTGAAAATGTGTTATTCCTGTTTTTGCTCAGCAGGAGATAGCGTATCAGGAGGAAACGGTGACTGCCTCCAAGGTGTTAGAGAATGTTGAGGTTGTAGAGGTCCAGATTTCCCAAGTGGACAACATGTTTCGCTGCACCAAGTGTGACCGCAGCTTCAAGTTGTACTACCACCTCAAACAACACTTGAAAACACACTTGGGCTCACTGGAAAAGCCGCATGTGTGCAACCACTGCGGTAAAGCCTACACACGGGAGGGTGCTCTGAAGCAGCACATCAGCACGTTTCATTTTGATGCAGAGGAGCTGTCGAGAAATCACAAACCCTATAAGAAAGTACATGTTTGTGAATATTGTAAAAAGCACTTTGACCACTTCGGCCACTTTAAGGAGCACTTGCGGAAGCACACTGGTGAGAATGAAAAATAAAGCTGGTTGACTTCAGTCTGTTTATGTAAAAGAAATATACAGTCTAGTACTTTACCTTATTTGTCCTGCAGCCTTGTTGTTACATGCCTCTCATTAAATGAAGTGTCTGTCTTTGAGTTTAGGTGAAAAGCCCTATGAGTGTCCAGACTGCCATGAGCGATTTGCAAGGAACAGCACATTGAAGTGCCACATGGCGGCCTGCCAGAATGGGGCCGGAGCCAAGAAAGGACGCAAGAAACTCTATGAATGCCAGGTACAGCTCTTCCAGAATCAAAGCTATCTGTGCAGAGCCTACCATAGAAAAACACAATTCTGAATATTTTTGTTCACATTTTGAAAATGTATTTTGTCAGACATAATGCATAGACAATCTGATATATGCCTCCTTTAGTGTGCAGACTGATGTACTGATATGTTGTCATGTAGTTGTTTTATACTGGGTTGGTTTACCTTGGGAAATTTAGTTAACAGTATAAACTGTATCTGGGATCTAAATGGCAACACATTCATTTACATTTGATTAATTCCCTTTACATTAGGGATGTCTCAGTCAAATATTTTCTTCTGATTTAATTAACTTAACATTCACTTCACTATAGGCCAGATATTGTTGACCTATCTCCCAGTGAATCTAGTTTTTGTTGTTTATGCTCCAGTTCTTTTTATACATTGCTCAAAAGAAAGAAGAATGATGATCCTTTGTTTTTTTCTGTAAGAGTGACCTACTGTTTTCTCCTCCTCCGTCAGGTCTGCAGCAGTGTGTTCAACAGCTGGGACCAGTTTAAAGACCATCTGGTGAGCCACACAGGAGTCAAGCCCAACCACTGCACCATGTGTGACATGTGGTTCACCCAACCCAAAGAGCTAAAGGCCCACCTCAGAGATGTCCATTCTATTGAGGACAAATCAAGTTTAGAACTGGTCATCACAGACTCTGCCATAGCAACGCAGAGCATAGAGGGAGATGAAACAGTTCTGTTGGATGATGGAGTTCAGGTCGAACATGTCACAGTGGAGCCTGTAGATATGATGGAGATGGAGGAGACCACAACAGTTGTGATGGAGGATGGAGGGGTGGCGGAGATGTGCGAGGAGGACATGGAGAGGTTAAAGCAGGCTGGGGTGCATTTCCAGGTGGTGCACGTGACAACAACTGAAGTTGATGGACAGCAGGTGGTGAACTCTCAGGTGGAAGTAGAGCTGGAAGGGGAGACAGTGAACATTGAGGAAGCAGAGCAAGCAGTGGTTGTATGAGAGTGTAAAAAAAGGTTGTTGATAATCCACAGGACATTCGTTCAGTCCTGGACGCCTGTGTTATCCTGTAGCTGACATCTTAGTTTTTATACAGAAAACTGCATGTGGTATACAGAATGTCACCTTAGTATATCATTCTGTCTGTCATCACATTGTATGACCCTCTGTTTTTGATATATGTATATATGGACAAAAAGGTTTCTGCCAAGGTTGCTGTATTTATTTTAAAAGTGTTTGGCATCATGTCCCATATTGCCGATGACTCTTCAGTGCTTCATCGGTCTATTTTAATGTTTTCTTTGTTTGTTTGTTTTTTTTTACTTTGCCTCAAGTTTATATTTTGTTTCTTTCAGTTTGAGTCACTTGCCAATGAATGAACTGTTCTTGTTGCAGCTCATATAACAACAGCTGTTGTATGCTACTGACGTTCTTCAGTGGAAATGCTGCACTTGTTCAGGTGTGTTTTCTAATTAACATTTGGCCTTTCTGTAAGAAATACTCAGATATGGAATAAAACATGATTTCCAAAACAAGTCTTGCATGCACCAGGTATCTCCTGAAGGATGTAAACCAGGCCAGAGCAGGAGGGACTCGGAACAAATATGAAAGTTGCTCCACATCAGCTGAATGTGTAAATTCACAGCTTTATAAGGTAACGGATTGTATATTAATATTGGTTTTACAGCTTGTTTCCACTGCCCCCAAGTGACTAAATAGTTGATGTAGATTTGAGGAAGTTGGTGTAATGCAAGCCAGTGCTGGTAAACCATACATTTTGGTTTACAAAGCTGTTTATTTTTTCAGAAGATTATTATTAAGATGCTGGCATAGCAGTTGCACTGGGATGTAGAGTTACTAGAAGTTACTCACCCTAACTGGTTAATGGGAAATCTCTCAGGGCTGTTTTACAACAAGGTGTATGTGCATTAGTTTCTCAAGTTATAATTTCCAAGAGTTTAGACTGAAGCATTTACACTGAACTTCATATGATGAGGTTTTAAATCCCAAGGAACCCGACCTTACAAACGGTAACGTAGCCTGTATGTTTTACCAGAGAGCAGTAACCATTTATCTGGGCACCTGTTAACAGTCAGACCCCACTTGGTCCTCTGACCCTACCTTGAACCTCTGCTGTGCGTGACAGGTAAGGTTACCTGGTGCGTCCCTTCACCTTTACTGCTCTGGACAGCTCCTATGGTACTGAACTACATGGATCCTGCGGCCCCTGGCTGTAATTGTTGCTTGTCATTGGATAAACGATGCACGGCGGACATATTGGGCCGGCGCTGATTCGTCGTTTCACCTGCCAGTCAAGCGGATTTCCTCCACAAAAGACACTGAACCGGGGAGCAAGTGCTGCAGAGCAAATGCGTTCAATGTCACCGGATAGCGGAGATGATTTCACAGTGAGGTCGGTAAAGCTGGTCTACGCTGGCGCACGGAGATATTAACGCAAGTAAGACTGATTCACAAATGTAACGTGGTCTTTTTGTGCTTATGTTATTCTGAAATGAAATGCCCTGGCTCTGAAAGAATGGCCTTCAGCGACCAGATTTAAACTGTTGACTGACACGGAACACGGATAAACAAATCACTTAATTGACGAACTACCACATTTGCTTACCCGAAAGGTGGTTTCTCTTCGGAAAGCTTGCCAAAATCCATTTTTAAATTCTAAAACATCGCAGTCACAAGACTCGGCGTTGACATACCTTGAACATTAATCTCTTTAGGGCTTGTATGATATGAATTATACAAGAATGTGGCTCATAATTTATGTTTTAATTGACTTTATTTCGCGGTTTATGCTCTATTGTATTCCTATTCTGCAGTGATTGTAGTCTTTAGAACCAATGCATCATTTCTGAAAAGGATTAGCGCATCACCTGGCAGTTACGCACAAACGCGACGCACGCAAACGCGCGTAATAGTTCAACTTTAGAGAGCCATAATAAGTCTAATCTCTTTTTCTGCGCTGAGCAGACAGCTAGTGCTAGATGTTTGGCTCTAGCTCCTGCTGTACCTTTGGGGGATTTGATTTGTTTTTATGCAGTATAATTCATAACCTAAATTATTTTTGTCCCATCAAAGTTTGACTGATGGGGTTAGCAGGTTTGTTTGCTGCCATCTTCTTCATCTGGAAGGCTTGGGGGCAATAGATTGCTTTTAGGTGTAGTTTTATTAAACGGTTCTAGACACATATCACAAGTTTGTTTGTCAGAAAAGCTTTGTTAAACTATTCAAAAGCTTGACTGTTGCTACATGGAAAGGAAATTCACAGTCTAAAACTAGAACTGTCACAGTGGTAATACACTGGGTTACGGCTTATTCAGTTTTGCTGTCAGGGCTATTTTGTGTCTTGTGTCTTTAAGCAAACAATAAACTGTAGTCTTTGTTTTTGTGGTTTAGTCCAGGATGTAAATAACTGGAAACTGTGTAATAGAATACCTAATTCCAAAATTAAGCAACCGATAATGTATTGAAGTGCAAAGGTAAGCTTTTCAAATATGCCTTAGTCATTATTCTCAGTGCAGACCTGGAGTGGAAATTGAATATATTAACATGTTTTTGAAGCAAAAATAGTTCTTTCCAAGACCAGTTTATGTAATTTGTTCTTGATTTTTATTCTTTTGATGGCCAAACAGTTAGCACATGAAACGTGTGCTTCATATGGTTTTCTTTGATGCAAACCTCTTTGAAATGCTGAAAGCGAATAATATGCAAACTCAGGCGGCTCTGTAAAGCAGGAAGAAATAGATGACCAAATAGATTTGAAGCCCTAGCTGCAGGATTTATAGTGTCTAGTGCATTGATACAGTGTTATTGTACTCCCTGCATACTCAGAGATGTCTACAGCTCTCTGTTGCACTCCAAGATGTACTTAACAAATGTGTGATGAACTTTTAATACAATCTACTCTAACATGATGAATAAGAAGGAATCATGCTACGTAAAAAGATAAAAGTAAAATGTATATTCAAAATTTTAAATTGGGTGTGAAAGGAGTATTGTGTCCTGCTCATGTATTTTATCATGAATTTCATTTGAGCACTTGGAACGCCAGGTTTTGTGTCTGGCCTGTGCTGCTTCAGTTTGGACTGTGTGTGTGTGTGTGTCAGTCTGCAGCGAAGGGAGCTCAGTGTGCTTGTGTGTGGGTTTTTGTTTTTGTTTTGTTTTTCTGGAAATGTGAAATATTTGCCCCATAGATTCCAGAAAGGCCTGCCTCTGTTCCTAGGGCCCATAGTCTTCACTGTCAAAGCTCTTTCAGTGTTGAGTTCTTTATTCTCAGTCATGCCTCTCAATTAACACACTGAGTAGCTTTGTGTGGAGAGTTTGCTGTCTGTGTGCCACTCGTCATATGTATTTACATGAGCATGCTTGTACATGTGCCTGTCTGAAGAATGTGTGTTCTCTGGCTTTGTACCTGAATGCATAATGGCAGAGGAAGAAGAGAGAATGGGATGCAAGCACAAGCTGGACTTAGGGAATGGATGTAAAGTGTAAGGGGCTTCTTAGAGGCAAAATGGAGAGGACCACCTCTTCTACAGACAGGGGGATGTGAGAAGCAGCACACAGGTTTGGGAACGAGAGAGAGATGTTTGCTCCACAGCTGCTGTGGCTGAGCTCTCGTGTTTTCCCTTGTTAGTGTGTGAAGAGGTTGCTGATGCTAGCAGTCTGATCAGCAGCATACTGCACCAGGCAAACCTCCCTCCTTCCCTTCAGCAATCGTCAGACAGATGATTGACTGTCTCCTGAGTTAAGGACCCATAGGCCTACTTGGCATAGCTGATTGTGTTTTCTGATTAAGGGATGGCTGTTTGTAGACTCACTGTCTTCTTTATGATAAACAGCATAGCCTTATGTTAAAATACTAATATTTAAACACAGCCTATTTGGTTTGAGATATTCTCTCAGATGTTCTGCTGTTGAGAAATGTTACTCACCTTAAGGTTGCAGTTGTGTTTTTCTACAGCAAAATCAGAGCATTTGTGCATCTTTTAAAGCATAAGGCTGGTCATTTTCTATATAACAGTATTATCAACTCCCCATACATAGACTAAAACCAACAGTGATTTATCTCTACTCAGTACTACTTAGTGTTTGTCAGTAAGTCAGTCCTGAATCAGCTTATTCGCCTATGCCATAGGCCCCCATTGTTGTTCAAAAACAATTATAAACACATCAGTGAAACACACTGCTGCACTGAGTGATATGTTTCCTCATTACAAAACACAAAACCCTGATATTTGTTAGGAAAATTAAGAGATCTTGTGCACTGATGTTTGACTCTTGCTTACTTCAGGCGCTGTAAAAAAAAAAAAACTGGCAGTTTGAAGCCTTCAGGGCAATATTTGCAAAATCCTAGGGTCTTGTGTTTTGTAATGAGGAAACATGTCAATACTGTGTTTTTAATTGTTTTTGAACAACAATGGAGATCTATAGTGGAGACAAATAAGATAACCCAAGACTGACAGTAACAGTGAGTAGTGCCAGTATTGGATTTAGTCTTTGTATGGGGAGTGTTGAAAATACTGTTAATAAAACAACAGGATTCCACAATATCTCTCCTTGTCTTTTCAAGTAGTATAGCCTTGTGTTAACTAACTAAATTCTACAACAAATATGTGTTTATTATAGACATTTTCTCTAACTAAACCAGTTAAGATGTCTTACTTTTTCTGACCAGCAGCCAAACAACACACTAAAGCACATTTTAAACAGAGAATAAATCAAACAAAGCAATTTTATAAAGCTGTAACCTTTTCATCTCTGATCATTCTTCTTGGCACACAGAATGATTCAAATGACTTAGGCTTGTTTATGCATTGATTTCAGTTTTATTTAAACGTGCATGAGTAAGATACACAGACAGGTGACAAATGAAAGGAAGAAGCAACTTAGTGAGGTGCTGGGCCACCATGTGTCACTGGAAGAGCTTCAATAATCATTTTTTCCTTTAATTTGTCACCTGTCTGTATTTGTCGGCTTCCTAAGTCTTGCACTGCTACACTGTAGTGTTCTTTATTTGTGTGTGAGTTGGTGTGTGTATAAATCTATCAGTCCACTCGTGCACATAATTAACACGGGTACGCTCAGGCTCAATGCAGCTCGTATACCTGTAAACACAGCAGTGCTCTGCTTGACACTCATTGCCAGTTAATGCCTAATCTTAAGCCTGAAAAAAAGAAAAAGCAAACAAAGCTTGGCCTGTGTCTGTCACCAAGCAACCCGGTAGATCTGTTATATAATGGAAGCCATGCACGAAGTGGGTAACTATACTCCTCTGCAGACCCTCTGTGGAGATACTCCACTTGAAGTAAGTATCAGTAGATCCAGATAGCTATTTAAAATGACTTTAATCAACAAGGCAGGTGTCTCACTCTTTGATAAAGTAATGTTAGCAATATATTTATAATGTTTAGATGATATTTTCATTGAAAACAACAAACTACAGGGCAGTGTCTCTTATAAGTCATTTAACTTTGTAGTGGTTATATCACATGGCATATGAACCAGTTTTTAATAATAACATTAAGTGATTATTGATCTACAAATGAAAAACTCAATTTGCCAGATGATGAGTTTCTCCCATTTGTCTGCATGCGCTGCTCTCATTATTTATTGCATTTATCTCATGCATGGTGCTTCTTTATTCTTTTTATTTGTACACATAAAAGGCTGGTATTCAGGGCTTGTTGCTTTGTGAAGTGGAGGCCTCTCCTCTCTTAGCAAGTCCTTTTAGGTTGCCTCATATCAATGCTGAAATATTCACGGAACAATGGCAGGAAGGTGTTTGAAGGCTCGGAGACTGTAGGTGTGACTAAAGAGAAGTGCTTTGATTTCCTCCTTCATTCATCTTCTATAATATCAAGATGCATGGTTGGGGTGTCTCCTGAACACCCTAACTCACTTTATGAAATTTTGCATAATAGTGACAGAAATCAGTCGCCAAAAACCATATTCTTTTTGTTTTGTTTATTACTTCTTCACCATTGCCATCAAATGTCAGTATTTCACAACCAGTGTATTTCTAAAAATCAAGTCTCAGGCCAATTTACAATGTAATTCTGAAACAATTAAAATATTCCCCACATTTCTTTTTAGCCAAATAGTGTCAATAAAGGTTGAGTCTCTAAACACCATATTTTGTTTATTTTATTTGACTGGAATTGTCATTTTAGAGAATACATATGTCTTTAAAATTAGGTTTCACCTTCACCTCAGATTTATCTTTTCTTTCTCATGGGACATACAGTAGTTAGAGCTTTATTCTTGGAATAGCATGTACCTGTATAGCAGTTATCACCTTATTACAGAATGGTAAACCCACACACATCGCACACACACACACACACACACACACACACACGAGAGTGACAGTCATAATACTCTGCATTAGAAATGAAAATGATCCACTGGATCATCCTTATATTTCAGCTTGTTGGTATCGTCTTGATGTTAGAGAGTGCTGAGGATCACTGATTTGTTTATTCTGGCTGTCGTGGCAACCTAAGCTTGCATCACCCTTGGAGCAGGACACAAGTACTAATTTAAGCAAGGATTACAATACAAATTAATGGATACCCAAGCAGTTACTGCACAGGCACACTTGACATGCGCACACAAAATGCTTCACATTTCACATGGTGGAAAAACCTGTATACCATGGTTTTGCACAGATGCTTGACCTATAAAAAATGTACACAGTTGCCAAAATGCTAAATATTTTGATGTAGCCATAAGTAGGTAACAAACCTGAAAAGAACACATTAGAATAGAAGAGTCAGACAACATAAAGAAAAGTGATGGCAACTGTGAGCATCAAAATAAACATAAAAGACATTTATTTTTGCATCTCTTTTGTTCTTCATTCCAGGTTGTGCTACTAAGCGCCCCATGGCTATACCCTGACACTATCATCTGTTCAGCATCTTTTTTCCAACCCCCCTGTACCGCTCCTCTTCCCTCCTCCTCAGCCTACGGCCTATTTATACCCTGTAGACTCAAAAGAGCCCATTAAAGCTCCACAGACCTCTTCAGGAAGGGCCAACAGTGAGCATGAATCCAATAACACATGGTCTAGCTGATCTCCAGCCTAATCACCTTGTCTTCGACAGCTACAAATAAGGAAAACAAAGGCTTCAATCTTTGGAAATTCTCGAAATGCAGTAAAATTACAGCTGTTTTCAACTGGCAGGCTACCCCTGATATTTCACTGTGGCGAGGACTGTTTGCAGCTGCAGCAGATGTGGCAAATTTTGGATGCAGCATGTGCTTAGGTCCATGGCCTGGACGTTCAGTCCTATTTTTCTGATATACAAGGAAATAAACAAGGGATTTTTCTTCTAAATGGCTCACACATTTGAAGGTAGGTCCCAGTTTCTGTCTCACATGAATTTGCTTTTAATCAGCTTTTGGATTTATGATGGTATAATAATTTTTTAAATGGTTTTTATGCATTAAAGCTAGTACAGTACCCACATAATGAATGTGTCATGGCTAGCTATTTAATTTTTGCTTTTTCATTTAACATCATGTGGGTTATGTGTGCTCTCTATTTGTGAGAACACTGTAGCTACCCAGTACACATTTAAAAAAATGGGGGACAGTTCTTTTGCTAATAAGTCTCACAACAAAGATCATACATGCATATTTGATATACCTTTCACAGAATGTTGTCAATAAATTGTCTAAAATGTACCTAGAAATTAATGACAAAAATAATGGACTTTTTTCTTATTGTGCATCCAGTCCAGCACCACTCCCAGCCCACTCCACCCTGGGTGTCCCTTGCAGGATGACTGCTGTCTGTCCCTCTGAAGGCAGCCCAGAAGGGGATGAAGCTGGGGCTGGGACAGCAGGCTCTAGGGTGCCAGGGACAGCAGGCACTGCTGGGAGCAGCTCAATTTCTGCGGCCGAGAACGGGGACTCTAATGGAGATTCTGTTAGAGGTTCAATTGGAAGTACAGTTATGGTTACTGGTGGCCAAAGGTACACCCGTTGGAGCCGCCAGGACAGCTCTGACATCAACACAGACGATGAGGGAGCCACCGTCCGCCGCCTCACTCCACTGGAAAGGCTCAACCTGGATATGTGCCAGGATGAAAGGTAGAGGTCAAGTGATGAAGAAAAAAAAAACATTTTTATTTGATGATCATGACATAAATTGTGATTTTTGTGTTTTTATTTTTTGCAATTTCCCAGATGGTGAAATTCTTTCTATAAAGGCTACACTCCAGTATGTAATAAACAATACTTTATGTTACATCGGTTATGTAATTTGACCACAGGGTGGTGCGTGAGCTAACAGTGGGCAGAAGAATTGGCTTCTACAAAATTCGAGGAGAACTTGGCTGTGGGAATTTCTCTCATGTCAAACTAGGAATTCATGCCCTCACAAAAGGTAAGACACTGCATCAATAAAATAAAATGCATCTGTGCAATACAACACTTACAGTGCTACAAAGTGAAACATCCGCTAAACATTGTTGGCATACTGACGTGATTGACTGACCAGGTATTGATAGAAGCCAAGGCATTTTGACTGAATAGGCACTGCTAAAAGAAAGGCACTGCTGAAAATGTCCATCTGGAAAGATGCAATTCTTAGGTAAGCTTTGATTTGCTCTCTGCTCTGGCTTTTTACTAGATTTAAGTGATAATTTGGCTGATGGGCTGTTTCCATCAATGGGCTGCAACACTAACAAGTGTGTCCCTACAGTATGTAGTAATTCACTAACAAGGCGATATGTGCTTGACCAGTGGGCTGATTCAGCCACAATAAGGCAGATTGTCTGCTGCCCTTTAACAGAGGGATTGATTAGAGATCTCCAGTTTCCTTAGTGACAGCTAAAACTGCTGCATGCCTCATCAGAGGCTACAAAGAGAGGAGAATTTATGTGGGTGTGCGTGATCTATGTTTTTAGGGCAATATTTATCTTACAGTATGCCTGCTTGTGCTAGGCTATGTGTGTGTGTGTGTGCACGCAGTGGGGAACAAAACCTGTTTACCTACTCACATTATGGGGATTTGGTCTTCCTAACTCATTGAATTTTGTCAATTTAGTTTAAGGTTCGGGTAAGGGGAAGTGATTAGGCAAGGCCAGGAAATGAATGCAAGTCAGTGTAAAGTCCCCACATGGGATGAAAACATGTGAGTGTCTGGGTGTGTGTGTGTGTGTGTGTGTGCGCATGTGGTATCTTTTTGTCCTGAAAAAGCAACATGAGCTACGATGCATTTTAAATGCTCCTATTGAAAACTATGTCACAGCTGAAAGGGAGCATAATACCAGCCTGAATAATGTATACTGAGGCACAATTAGATATCTCAACACCATTTTGCCACTTAAGAACTTTTCTGTATTCAGTTACCTGAGGTCTATTTTATTTATCTCCATGAATTATATAAAGCATACGGCCAATATATCAGGTAGTTGAATTTCATATATGTAGAATATTTTTGTGTGTTTTGCAAAGATAAGTTGTTTGTTTTGAAATTTTGACTATATTTTCTTCACATTTAGTTCAATTTGATTCCTGGAAACTGTGGCTAATCCAATGTTCTGTGTCCCTGTTGTATTTAATCTTCACCAAGACCCTCTGTAGCTGCTCAGACCTAAAGTCACTGCAGGATGGCAAGAACAGAACAATTTTTCTTCATTTCCAAAAAATGACATTTCCTTTTAAGATGGGGCTAAAAGTCAGAATTGACCCCTTGGGAGAACATAATCAAGAAAATTGGTTTCTGTGGGCAGCTAATCCTCCATCAAATTATAGAACAGAGCATCACACTTCAGGGGCAATTCTGTGTTAGCTAGGTGCAGCCAGGCTCATATTTCCTGTCCTTTGTCTTCATAAGATTTGTGCAATGAGGGTGCATGCATAGTAATACACACAACAGGGTTACTTTTATTTTTACAATGGAAATTACCTTTCCATTTTTAAACATCTCTTGTCAATAATAAGATATTCTAGCTCTGTATAAATACCACTTTAAAATATTTCTCTATAAACATGTATCTATAATATTAAGTTTCATGTGCCACTGACCACTGATTTTACTTTTCTCCCTCTGGATCCCCAGACAAGGTGGCTATAAAGATCCTAGACAAAACCAAGCTGGATCAGAAAACCCAGAGGCTGCTGTCCAGAGAGATCTCTAGCATGGAGAAACTACACCATCCGAACATCATACGCCTCTATGAGGTTTGGCTCATACAGTTTCATATTGATTTATATATGACCTTTGTCAGAGGTTGGACATTCAGTCTTCTCAGTAGTGCATTCTGGCATATTTGTCACTCGTATCAGTTGTCTTTTTTTTTTCACTTTTTTTTAGGTAGTGGAGACTTTGTCACGGTTACACTTGGTGATGGAGTACGCAGGGGGAGGGGAGCTCTACACAAAGATTACTACCGAAGGGAAACTTTCCGACACTGATAGCAAGATTGTTTTCGCTCAGATTCTGTCTGCTGTTAAACACATGGTCAGTACATACAGCATAGATTTATATACAGTACATCTGTTCAAAATTATGTGTATGATATGTGACATAATACATAACAGGATTTCAGTCTGGCTTTAACTGGATTTAAATGCAGTATTTATATTCAAATAACTATTGCAGACTAAGACGGCAACCCACAGCATGCTGTTCCAGTGGCCTTCATGGAGCATAAAAAAATGTAATGCAATCTCTTAACCTAATTAATCTTATACAAAGTCAAAATTGTAACAAATCACTTGTGAGGAGTACAAGATCTGAAGCATCAAAACATGAAAATTGATTACCTTTTGATACCTAGAATAACTACATACAGTGTGATAAAAGAACAAAAGAGCTGTCATGGCTAAAAGCAAAACATTTTATACACTAAGTGATCTCTTAGTGGTTTTACTGGATGAGTGGAGTTTGAATGGAAACTGAAAAACTGTGTATCTATCTGTTTGGTCAGGGGTCACTCAAATGACAGCTGCATTATTATGTCTCCAATTATTAGGCTTCTGCTGTCAATTTTACAGCATCCTCTGTACCAGAATGTGTCATTTGGATTCAAACCTAGGAACTACCATATTTAACTAAATTAGTTGGTAAATTGTTATTTTTTTCTGGCAGAAATCTAATTGTTAATAACAAAAATAGGTCCACTATTAATATTATGATGGTTGGGATAATCTTTCAGTAGCTAACTGACATTAAAGGAGGCGAAAATTACCTAGGGTTTTCATTTTTTCCCCACAGCATGAAAACAACATCATCCACCGTGACCTGAAGGCAGAAAATGTCTTCTACACCAGCAGCTATTGTGTCAAGGTGGGCGACTTTGGCTTTAGCACACTGAGTCGCCGTGATGAGACACTTAACACATTCTGTGGCTCTCCACCTTATGCTGCACCTGAGCTCTTTCGGGATGAGCATTATGTTGGCGTCTTTGTAGACATCTGGGCCCTGGGCGTGATGCTCTTCTTTATGATGACAGGCACCATGCCATTTAGGGCAGATACTGTGGCCAAACTGAAGCGATGCATTCTGGAGGGGGCCTACATCCTGCCTTCTTGGGTGCCAGAGGCATGCCAGAGGCTGATCAAGGGAATCCTCCAACCCCTACCATCTGATCGCTGCACAGTGGAACAGATGATGGGCTGTGAGTGGCTGCTGCCTGTGGACTTCCCATGTGCCATGGAACCCTTTAAACTAGACCCATACTACCTAGCAGAGAATGATCCATCTGAACTTGGGGAAGAAGAGATGGAGATAAAGACAGCACTGGAGACACTAGGAATCACTTCAGAACATATCCTCAACAACCAGGGAAAAGACTGCAGGAGCTCCATCACTGGGGTGTATAGAATCCTGCTACACCGCGCTCACAAGAGACGGGTTGTTGAAAGCAGGTCTGTGGTCACACAGGCAGTTGCACCAGCTACATCGAATAAAAAGGAACGACTAAAGGTGTACCGTAGTTTACGGCACACGTCTAAACTCTGTGTAATTCTGTGACAAAATGCTCTGCTTTGCTATGGAAATGAACTGACTTTATAGTCTGGGATGAAATCGCATGGATTTCATTAGAAATAAAAGCAATGCTTTTCAGCCCAGTAATATCATGGTATTTAGCCCCACTCAGCTCCTGAAATCTGGGGTTTTTTACTTTAGCATCTTCTAGTAAGTAAAATTAATCTCTGTGAGAATGTTACTGCCGATGAATTGTTTGTCTCCTTTTCTGACAGGGATGGGGCCTGTAGTCCTCAGGAGATTTGGAAATGTTGTAAATGATCATTTATTTAATTAAACACAATGATGATTATATGGAATACATTATTCTGGTTATTGGTCATGCAAGCCAGACATTTCTAGCCCATATACATTCTATGGTCAGTTGTGCTGTAACACCGATAAACTCTTGGAGACATCAATGTAGCATAAATCTTAAGGAAAACAATTAAAAATTTACAAATTTATGCTAAGGTAATAAAAGAGTGAAACATGCATTCAGTGCATGAAATGTGGTGTCTTTAAAGTTTAATTGCACTTTTCTTCAATGCCTTAGTTTTGTACTATGTTATGAAATCAGAAAGAATGGTTTAATTAGTGTGATGATATGGATATGAATAGATATCTCATCTTATGTATCTCTGTGAGATGTTCCACCTGCTGAATGACCTCACTCTATTTGCCCTGGGCCTGAAACTGGCATTAAGCTACAAACCAACCACGAGAGGTATTAGTTGTTCATGTGGCATAATTCATTTTCAGTTCTGAAACAAGACAATTTCACTACCAAGGTTTTTTAATCATCTGATGCCATGTTCATGGTAATGTGTTGATTAAAATGAAATTAACATTTAAATGCTTCTGTCTTTATTTTTAAGGCATATAATGCTTTTTTGGTTGTGTATGTTTTATCATTTTAAAACTGAATATAAAACTGAATAACACTCTAAAGGTGAATTTTTTGTTATTTAGCAAGAAATTACGAATTGCATTGCGTTTGAGCAAAAATTATCACAAAAACCAGCCCTAAATATCATAAATACACTGTAAATGTATATTGCTATTTTACAAATAGCAGTTCATTGTATTGTATTATATCTTGGTTTCTTTTACAAAAATATGTATATTATATCATTTGCTGTATGTTACTGCAGCCACTTATAGCAGTAGCATGATGTCTGTGCAGAAAACGGTACAATCGTGAGAACCTTACGTTACATCAATGTACTACACTTCCCAGAAGCACCCAAGAACGGACACGTATTTATATCCGACTTTACGTGATGATGCAATTTTTGCCTTGTTGGAAGGTGGTTTTAGGAGGAAGCCGTGTGATTGTAGACATCAGCTGCAGAGAAACAGATTAGCTAAGATAAAGACGTCCGGACACACTCACTCGAATGGTATTTCGCGTCCTTTCGTCGAATGGTAAGAAAATGAATGTCGACGTGAACTGTGTTTAATGCTTTTCAGTGTGTTTAACGTAACGAGAGTCTGCCCTCCTATAATATAAGTCATTATCATGGCAGGATTATTAAGATATCGTTAACGTCAAGTTGCTAGCTTCCTTGTGAAAATTGGGCTAAGACATTTCCCCCTTTTTGCCATTGGAATAATTAATATAGTTACATTTTTCAGCCTGTTAAAAATCTCATGACTCACATTGGTTATGCCAGCTCCTAAATTACGTTAAGTAGGACAATTCTTTTAAATGGCTATGTTGTAAGACAGTACTCTTTTTGTAAGACAATAGGCACCATGCATCCAGACTCCTTTCATATAGCCTATGAAACGTTATATATTTATCTCGACCTAGCAATGAAGCATAGAAATGGAATTAACCAAACATTATACATCTTATTTGTTTTGACACTTGAGTGTGTTCAGATCTCATGACAAAGATGTGGGGGCGGGGCACAATATGAGATGAGGTCATGATGGGAGCGTGGCGATGATGCAATGTAAAGTATGCTGTTTACATGGCCTTAACCCTTTAAAACTGAAGTCCATCATACCATAAATATTGTGGCTACAGAGACCATTAAACGCCTTACAGTCAGAATAGCATCCACATGCAAGTGCAACCTCTATATGGCTGTCAAATGAAATCTACAGAACAGCATCCAAGCAATCAGACACTTTAGTGAGTGCAAGCTTACCAGATCATCACGTCATTTCCTATACCACCCCGTTGTCCTGTGGTGCATGTATCACTGTAATCACATTACAGGTTCTATATAGCGGGGTGATACTTAACAAAGGAAATTCCACTATGACAAAATTTTCTTCAGTACTTTGACTAAATTATTAGTTTAAACACTATTTAACTGTAATGCAGTGTAACAGACCAACAACTGACATTTAATCTGTATCCCAAAATTGCCATACCCAACATCCCAGTATCTTGTCAAACATCATACTTGTATTATTGCAGTGTTGTACTAATATTACATGAACATAGTTGCCATTGCTGAGAAATATTAAACTTTCAGCAAGTGATGTGCTCTGTATGCCTCTGTGTTGCAACAGAAGAAATGTCAGTCACTGAGGACTTTCCGGACATGAATGGAGTAGATTTTTTAGGGCTGCTGTTCCATGATGGACAAGACGGATCTGCTGAGCCCCTCTTTCCTGACGAGAACGGGCTCATCGAATCCTGGCTGTCTGAACAAGATGTAAGGCTGCAGTCACAGAAGAGAAACAAATAGGATGATGTTGGTTAGATGTGTCCAATACAGTATTTAGCCATATTATTTTTGAACTCTGTGTACATTTCTGAAATGGGTTCCCCGTAATGTGGTCTCATGCCAAACCTTTAACTGTAATAGCAAATGTCCAGAGTTTGTAAATATTAACATAAAATCTTTAAGTCTACATATCAGATAAACCACACAATCATGGAATAGTTAAAGGTTTAACACTGTCGTTTGTCTCCCAGATGCTCACAGGTATGGATACTGAAGACTTTCTGTCCAGCTTGTTAGAGGAAGAGGACAACATGGGGGCTATCTGTCCCTCTCATTCTCCTTTGGGCAGTGACAGTGGCATTTCTGATGACAGCAGCACTGGGGTTGGAAACAGCAATCTTCAGGGATGCCAGAGTCCCCGTGGCAGTGAAAGCGATACTTTGCCCAGCCCCAGTTATTCTCAACCCAGCCCGGTGGAGTCGGACCCTGCCCTGGCCTCTGGAGAGTTGCACACAGAGAGCCTGGAAGCCTTGACAGTGCATGCAGATCACAGCTACTCTCTGCTGCAGAGTGAAGGAGACATGGATATCCTGCAGAGTGTGAGGGCAGAGAAGCCAGATACAGATGTTTTCATTGATCTTGGTATGTGTAGTCTAAGCACTCCCAAATATTTTCCAAACATACCTACTTAAATCCTGCAAATAGTTCTGAGTTTGTGTGGGATGCAGTGATAAGTTGGGACACTTGATTTGCTTAGCACATCAGAAAATATTTTAAATGTATATTTTTCTTGTGACAGAAGACCTGGTGAGTGAGGCAATGGAGGAAGACATCATCAGCGAGCTGCCTTGCACTTTGGCCATAGAGGACTCAACACAGGAGTCAGCACAACTCGGCACAACAGACGAGGTCAGATTCTTTCGCTGTTTTAACCAGACCAAAGAGAGCGCTTCACATAGTTGAGCGAGGACCCAGAGTTGTAGTAAATAATCTAGTATTATCCGAGGATTGATAAGATTGTTTGTGATGCATGCTTCAAATGTGACAATTATATGCTCTGCTGAAAACAAAAATGAAGAAAATTGTGTTTTCCCCCCTCCAGTTTCAGTTTAAAGAGATTGTGCTAAATGAGGAGGAGAAGCGGCTTTTGGCGAAAGAGGGAGTAACCATTCCAACACACATGCCTCTCACAAAGGTAATTGATACAGTTAATGTCTGTATTTACTTGAGCTGTTGATGTCTAAATTATAAACACTGAGCAGCATTGTAAGTTTCACTGGATTGAAGTGTCTGCAAAATACTACAAAAGTAAATACAATAATGAGCTTAATTAAAAAAAACATTCTTCTATTGTTAAATTCATTTTTGCATTGATTTCTGTGTGATAATTTTGAATAGCTTTAGCTTTTTGAATGTTTGGCCTTGTAATGGGTTTGTCTTATGTCTTTGTATGACAGTTATTTACTGCTTTTGCCATCAAACCCTGCTTTTTCTGAATGAATATTCAAAATTGATTTTCTGTTTGGTCTTTCTGTAGCACAGCTGCTCAAGGCTGTTTAAACATGTCATCTGTCATGTCACCATTGTGGTGAAAGCCTCCTTTCTGTGTGACAGGCAGAGGAGAGGACCTTGAAGCGGATCAGGAGGAAGATACGCAACAAACAGTCTGCTCAGGAAAGCCGCAAGAAGAAGAAGGTGTATGTTGATGGACTGGAAAACAGGTGAGATGAAGAGGCCAAAATGAATTCTCTATATTTCATTCTTTTAACATGGATATGGAATTTCAAGCAAGTCAAGCTCAAGAACTCGCACTGCAGGAAGATGAAGACTGAAGCAATGGTTTTGCTTGCTGAATTCCATGTGACTAGTTGTTCTAGCAATGATTTACTCTGTCTATAGTTTTTATGGTTTGTCAAACATTCCATGTACATTTGGATGAATATAATGATTGCTAAATTACTGTCTACCACAGGGTTGCCGTCTGTACTGCACACAACCTGGAACTACAGAAGAAAGTCCATATGCTTCAGAAGCAGAACATGTAAGAACTGATGCATTGCTTCCTCATTAATATGTAATAACATGCATCTCTGAAGCATTTCAGACTCTGTTGACATCTGTTAAATGTGTCCTCTTGGTTCTTACAGGTCCTTGATAGAGCAGCTGAGAAAACTACAGTCTATTGTGAAGATGTCAACTATGAAGGCCAGTGCAACCAGCACTTGTGTTATGGTAACCTGTTGACTATATTGATGTTTTTTCCTTTAGATCATTCTCTTAAGTGTCAAGTGTGTTATCATGTTGTAAATGTTACTCACTTTCGTCTTGTGGTTTCCATCCAGGTGTTCCTGCTCTCTTTCTGTCTCATCATCTTCCCATCAGTCAATCCATTTGGAAGAAACACAGAGGAGAAGGAACTCTACACACCCTCACCGGGTAAGTTATCTCAAATAAAAAAACAGTGTTGCATTGTTACTCAACCTTTCTTGCCATGTATTTTTTATACCCACAGTTTGGTGGATTTTCTTTCTATTTTTTTTTTTTTAAATCAAGATAGCCTGTCATTTCAGTGTGTAATAACAGTGTACAATATATGCTTTCCAGTGTAGTGACCAAGATTTCATGAGCTTTTTATCAACACCATGGCTTTTTTTTGGCTCAGGTCTAATAACATTTTTCATTTCATTTCATACTGCAGTTGTCTCCCGGAGCTTGCGCTCACTGAAGCCAGAAAGCACGAATTTCATACCCTACTCCGAGACTATAGAAGATGATCTTCAAGCAGGGATCCTCACTACTGGTCTGAAGAACCATACCCCTGACTATGAGAGAGTGGAGCAACCTGACTCAGAGACAGGTGTCAACAGCAACTCTTCGGCTGACTTCTCCAGCCCTACTCAGGCTGCAGAGATGAAGCCAGGCCTAGTGGGTGGAGTAGAGACCTTACAGGAAGGACCTGTTGATGTTTCAGGGTCAAAAGATAAGTGGAAGGACCGGAACCCCTCATCTGTGATATTACAGCAGCACCGCTCAGATGAGATGTAGTGGGGAGATTTTTATCAATATAACCAGCAGAGGGAGCCATATCCCTAATATAGTGGGTACAAGGGACGATTATACTTGCAAATGGATGAAGGGAAAGTACCATAATTAATAATACAGGATCAGTCTGCCTGTCGCTGTCCGTAGTTTTCCCCTCTGGCACTCTTCTGATGTACTACTGTTACTTTATTTGCACTTTGTTTTGATGTCCTTGTTCCAGTATGCATAAGGAACTGGAGAGCCTTCCATATTAACAGTGTCTCTGTCACTTTTGGCTGTTCCTGTTAGGGGTCGCCACAGCGAAACGTCACACTGACGATTCACATGTTGAAATTTGGCATGTGTTTTACGCCGGCTGCCCTTCCTGAGGCAACCCTGAGTCGAACACGGGCATATTAACACAGTGTGAACTTTGTTAAAAATAAAACCATACAGTATACATGCTTATGTTGCTGAAAACCCCAGTCTACTAGGCTAGCGCTGAAAGCTCCCACATCGTACAAAATGGTGCTGATGACCAAAACGTAAATTTGACTACACTACCGCAGGACGATTGTTAATTAGTAGAATAGTAGATTAGTACTACTACTTCAAGAGAAGTATTACTTGGTGGCATTATTATTTATCACCAAATTCTAGGGAGAGCGTTGTTTGACTCTAGGATGTCTGATCACCTCCAGCAGATCTAGATGTTAACACATCCTGCTTAATGACTCCTCCATAGTAAATGATTGTGAAAATAACAGTTTGCACTATAAACTAGTCAACTGCATCATCACATATTAGAAGCTAGGCTGCTTAATTCTCATAAAACCTGATCAAAGTGGTTGCTTGACTATAATAATGCTAAAGCCATTGCAGGACATTTGGCCATTTAGAAGACTTGTAAAGTATTTCCCTTGTAACAAGGGTGTCCATGCTTCGTGAAATTTTGGAATGCTTTGTTTTTTATGTTGTACAGTAAAGCAGGAAAAAAATATCTGCAAAGTATATAACGAGACATTGAACCCTTTGTCATTGTTAACCAACCCCAATCTTTCCCTGCAAGATCCTCTTTTACAACTTCTTGGGACCATTCTTACCTTTATAGACATGTCTGGAATACCTTATTACCTGTGGGCACAGAGTACGGGGTTTGATATATTGCCTCAATAAACCGTGTTGCAGTAAGATACTCAAAAATGTAATGACCTGTTGTATCAGTGAGGCATTTTTGTAACTGTGTATTTATGTTAGTCAGTAATAAATGGAATCAAAATTGTATTGAAGCTACTTTTTATAATCGAGAAGAGTCAAGGAGATTTTAAATGTTGATCATGTTGAACAAATGCACTGTCATCTGACATAGTCAAAGTATGGAATGTGTGTATATGCTTTAAGGATTGTAGGTCTTCTGTCCATTTGAACTCTGTGTATCAGTCCAGTATGGACATCCATAATAATAAACTTTTTATACAGAATGATTCTGTTTTTCTTGGATTTTGTGTTGTTGACAGAGGGATAGAAAACTACCTGTACACTTAAGCCTGTCTACCATGATTTGTACTTGGTTTTCAACAGTTGATTGTTGAAACCTACAGTGAAATTACATATTGCAAAGGGAGCTACTTTCAGGATCAACTATGTTTTCTCACTGCCACTTTCACAGAAAAAACAAGTGTTTACAAGATAACCAGTAGATCCACAATTTGGAACTGTTTACCACACTCGTTGACCTGTTAGAACCTTGCTCACAGTCATGACTGTTAAATTTATCCTCCATTGGGAATTTCACAGCCAGCCTGGGACTTCCCCTATCCTCTTAGCCAAAGTGCTTAATGTACTCAACTGTAAAAGCCACAAAATTCCAAAAGCTTCCACACACAAAGCCATTTATGTAATGATGTTAATCTAACTAGCATAGGCTATCACAAGTGCACTGGGAGATATTGGTTAATTCCTGAAAATGGCAGGCTTTTGAAAGTTTTATTTATAGCCTACTCTAATTCTGTAAAGTCAAACTGTAGATATGTTGCTTCTTTCCCACACAGATTCTCTCTGTTTT